TCAAAAGATAATTTATATCAATCCTTTACAAACTCTTCCAAATAATAGACAATATGGGAATACTTCTCTACTAATTCTATGAGGCCTGATTAACCCTGAAATCAGACAAAGGCATCATAAGAAAACTTAGACCAATATCCCTTAGGAATACAGACCAAAATTCCTCAACAAAATACTACCAAATTCAAACTAGCACCATATAATTATATACTATGGCTTATCCCAAGAATGTTAGGTTGTTTGGCATCCTCAAATCAATTACTGTAATATATCATGTTAATAGAATATACGAACAAAGCTCATATCATATCTCAAGAGATATATAAGAAGTGTCTGACAATATAAAATAAGGCAACAAAGGAGGAAGAGAAGGAAACATCTTCAACCTGGTAAAGTGCATGTACAAAAGCCCCACTGCTAACATTATTCTTGATGAAAAAGTAAAAGCTTTCCCCCTAAGAGATCAGGGATGACTGCTCTTGCCACTCTTACTCAATATTGGACTGGATGTCTTAGGCACCTGCCAGATGAAAAGAGCTCCCATCACTCAAGGTAGGGTGATATACAACCTACCAGTTGGTGCTGGGACCTCCAGACCAGAGGAGAAACATGAGACTGTCCAGAGGAAAATATGTTACCAGGAGAAGCCAAAATCTCCTTCAGGCAGAAGGTTAGAAATGCCATTAAAGCCAGGTGCAGTTGACTGATGACTGGGGCAGAGTACTTCCTAGATTGCAAATCTGCTGTAAATTGTTCATCAGCTTCCCCCAAGGGGGAACACTCTGGTCTATTCTTCAGTACTCAGCCACTTGGAAGACTTTTAAAAAATGCTCATAAGGAACTGGATGAAGTCCAACTGAAGTTACAGTAAAAAACCATGTATGTTATTGGTAGGTGCCATCGACTCAGCTCTGACTCATAGCAACCCTATGCTCAACAGAATCAAACCTTGCCCGATACTGTACCATCACTGTCGCACACAGTCACTGTGTCAACAACCTATCTCATTGAGGGCTATATATTTGCTGTTATGTCCTGTCAAGTCAGACCCAACTCATAGTTGACCCTCCAGTGGGTGTTCAGAGGTTGTAAATCGCATGGGAAGAGACTGCCCATTTTTCTCCCACAGAGAAGCTGGTAGATTCAAACCATGTGCCTTCGAGTTGACAGCACAGCTTCTTACTAGTAGGTCACCAGATACATACATACGTGTGTGTGTGTGTGTGTGTGTGTGTGTGTGTGTGTGTTTTGTTATGTGCTGTCAAGTCACAACCAACTCATAGCTGATGCTGACTCTCCAGTGGATTTTCAGAAGCTGTAAATCTCAAGGGAGGAGACTGCTCATCTGTCTTTCGAGGAGCAGCTGGGGGATTCAAACCATATGCCTTGGGGTTGGCAGTGTAACTCCTTACTACCAGGTTACCAGAGCTCCCTTACAACATGACATCAACTCAACTAGCACTCTGTAACTTGGCCTTGTTGTATTCTACAGAACAATGAGCATTAATAGTCCTAGAGGCCTTGCAAGAATCTCGGGTTCTTTCTGAACCCTCAACAAGAGTGTTTTACATTCAGTCTAGCTTAAGTATTCTGTGCGTGTCTCACTGAGTTTTAACTACATTAAAATTAGTAGGCCTTGGATGGCTTGTATGGTAGCCATTAACTTGAATATTCAATGCACCAATCATATTGCTTTATAATCATGGGGAAAAGGAATGCAGCGTGAGTTACTTCAACTGAGAAAGTAGGACTTCAAAGTCTTCTTTTCCTAGATTCCTTTGGATATAGGGAGCTCAGGATGGGGAGGTGAAGGGGAGAGCAATGAAGAGAGAGAGAAAGAAGCTGCCTCTAGATTTTCTACCACCTCAGTACAGACAGAAAATATGTATGTTCTGAGCCTTTCTCTAATGCATGCCTTCAAGTCTAGGTGTGAGTGCTATTCTATTGTTTGTATTAAAACTTCCCTATGTAAACAGTAAACAGACTAACCATAATAAATCAGCATTATCCCTGTAACCATCTATCTCTGCTTCTGCATTACACTGTAAGGACCATGCCTGGTAGTCATGACTATATCCTCAGTGAATGAGATACAATGAAAACTTGAGAAGCAGTTGTTGAATCAATAAATGATATATAGTTTATTTGTGAACAATGATGGCACGAGGCGTCTCAGTCTCCAAGTAGTAAAAACAGCTGCATAAAACTTATGGCTAACTCTTGAACAACTCAGGTTTGAACTACATGGGCTCAAATGTGGAGTGTATTCACTTACAATGCTGTGACGCTAATTATCTTCATATAAACAGTTCCAAAAACTGTTCATGCAGAGATGGCTGGCAGCATTGGAGTTTACTACCAAGAGCAACAGGAAAAAGGAATTCATGTGTAAGTGGGTCTGTGTAGTTCAGACACATGCTGTTCAAGGGTCAATTCTACTTTCTTTGGTGAACTTGCTGATAAAAGCCGAGAGGTAATCTCTTCCCTTTCTCTTTCATTGCTGTTGAGTGCGAAGTGTCTCAGAGCTGACCCTCCAGTGGGTTTTTAGAGGCTGTAAATAGCACAGGAGGAGGTTACTGATCTTACTCCCACAGAACAGCTGGTGGATTTGAACCATGTGCCTCTGGGTTGGCAGCACAACACCTTGCACACTAGGTTATCAAAGTTCCCTACCCAGGTGGTAGTCAAAAAAGTTAAGAAACTGTGTTCAGATATCTAATCAAGTTCCTAGGGAGGTGATGTCAAGTTCCATTTCTTTCCTTCTGAGCCAAAAGAGACAGGGGAAGGGAATAACAAGGACTTTCTCCTGCCCTTCTATTCCCCAAGCTGACTGTTTACACACCAATGAGGAGAAACACTACAGACAGCAGAGTGATCCATTTGGCTCCTGCATGGACACAGAGGCCATGTGTTAAAGGCAACCTATTCCCCTATCAATCTGCACGCCTGAGGGGCCTTTCAGGAATCAGGACGAGGTTGCTAAAGATATGCCTAGCATTGAGAGAAACCTCATTTCTAGTTTGCAACACCCCTAAGAGAATCCCGTGAAATAGCCTTCCTTTGGAAAAGTAGCTAGAAACCAAAATGAAAAGTAGTTGAAGAGGCTGAGTTTCAAACCTGTGACTCTCACTTGGTGCCACTATTGCCCTGTTAGGGTAATATCCAGAAGACTGTATTGACAAGTGCCATCTCTGTGATGGGAAGATACTCATTGTTAGGCATGGTGGGAGAGCAGAGTCATCTTGGTATGTTTTGACAGTGGATCCCCTAAATAACACTTATTTCTACATTTGGTTCTTGGTTAGGTTCTAGGCTCTTCCTTCTGCTTCCCTCTTTCCCTTTCTCCCTCTCTATCCTACTCATTAGGGAGCTCTGGTGGCCTAGTGAGTAAGGAGTTCTGCTGCCAAACCAAAGGCACAAGGTTTGACTCCACCAGCTGCTAAGAAAGGAAAGATGGGCCATCTCTTCCCATGTGATTTATAGCCTCTGAAGATCTGTGGAGGGTCAGCTGTCAGGCAGTTCTAACTTAATGGCACATATCAACACCATCCTGCTCATTAAGAATATAACTTTTGTGTATGTGATAAAAGAGAGGCAAACCACTCATAGGAGACACTGACATTGTTAATGTTGGCTATGTGTTTGACCATTGTTAGGTTCCACAGCATGGCTGACTACTTAAGAGCTATTTGCCAGGGTACCTGGAGCATCTCAATTCTTCCTCTTCCTATTCCAAGATAGTCCCTTTGCTTCTTGAGGCATGGCTTCCTTCATATGCCTTGGAGCTGTTTAGCTATTTTTGAACACAGATGTATTGCCTTTTAATTCCGGTAGGTCATATCATGCAAAGCAAACATGGGTTTGCCATTGAGGTGCTGGTAATGAAGAGACCTTGAGGTGAGAGGAAGTGGTGGTACAACAGCTCTCAATTGTTGGGTCATTCACTGTTGTTGTGTATTACCGAGTTGGAACTAACCCATAGCTGACCCTCCAGTGGGTTTTTAGAGGCAGTTAATCGCATGGGAGAAGACTGCCCATCCTTCTTCCATGGAGTAGCTGGTGGCCTCGAACTGCATGCCTTCAGGAATGCAGCACAGCTTCTTGCCACTAGGCCACCAGAGCTCCCTGGGTCAACCATTGGGAGCAGTGTTTCTGCTTCCAAGCACCTCAACCTAGATGAACTATGACCATGCTGAATACCAAGACGTTCACGATGAGAGAAGACATAGTTAAGTAGCAAGGGAAAGTGGACTGAATGGCAACTATGGGTGGTCAGGCTCAGCTTCACCATCACATCTGGGTGCTGGGGTGCAGGGCCGCTCTTACTGCATATACTCAAGTACTGTTTGAGTACTTGTTCCTTTCCCTTCCATTTCAGTAGTGGGCAGCAACTCCTGGACTGGGCTAATTTTCCCCAAGCCCCCTGTGGTGCCATCCCCAGGGAAGTTCTGAGGGGTGGATGGAAAGTTGCCTGAAAGGGAAGTCTTCTGTGTAGGGGCTGCAAAGAATTTGTCCTTTGTGATGGTTCCCTTTTATCTCCACGATTTCTTTTGGCTCTGCCCTGGCTCTGTGTCTTTCCTGCCCTAGCCTGCCATGATTATGTCAGGCAGCACTATAAGCAAATATCCCTAGGATGAGCAAAACAAAGGTTTCAGCTTTATTTTCAACTCTACTCAACCAAGGAAGTACACCCATGAATCTTTTGCCTCAGACCCAGTGCAATTATTTAATGACTCTATCACTTCTTTTATTTATTGTACATTCATTCATGGTCTCAATCATAATGTGCTGTCAGAGGCATCCTTTGTGGAACAGGCATATCTGAAGGCCAGCAATCTTTTCCACTTAGGCCAGATAGTCCACAATGGTACAGTACTGACTCCTGGTAAACCACATATTATTGGAATGGGGTACGAGCACTACAGCAGTGGAACCCCTCCCTCTATCTCTCCAGGGTCCAAAGGGCCTCTGGCACACTGAAAAGTGAGGCTGAGCCCTACCTGCCTTGATCATTGGAGGTGGAAGTGGTTGGCTAGCAGGCCTGGAGAAGACCATCTTCCTGGAATCCAGCAGGAGGCGGCAGTACCCTGCGATCAGGCAGGCAAAGTTGGTGGCTTCTGGCCACTCCATCAACAGCACCAGAGGCTGGAGAAAGAGATGGGAAGAAACATAAGGACACAGTAGGGAAGGAAGCGGTGCATTTCCAGGAGGGCAGTAGTGATTAAAAGGTGAGTTTCATAGTCATGAAAACATACCTCCTGAACCCAAAGTTAAAGCACATGGCCCAACAAATAATTTCTGATCTGTGAATTTTTTTACAGTAAACTCTTACCCAGAGATCTCTTGTGGCTTAGTGGCAATAACCTGCACTGCAATCACAAAATCTCAGGGTTTGAACTAAGCAGCAAGGGAGCAGGATGGGCAATCTCCTCTGTGTGATTTATTGCCTCTGAAAACCCACTGGGGGTGGGGGGAGGTGGTCAGTTACGATTCAGTTCTGACTTGATCGCACACAATAACAACAACAAATTCTTACTCAGGTATGAAAAGGGAGTCAACCTTTAATTACGCATTTAATGAACCACTTGTGTGGAAAAGAACTAAAATGATGTACCTTGTTACTGCTCTGGGTCATATTTGTGTTTTGTAGGGCTTAACAGATGTGCAGGATAATTGAGAGACTTGAGGTGAAGCTGGGAGGCCAGGCGAGGCTAAGGAACAACCCAGACATTCTTTTTCACAAAATTTTAAATTTTGTTGTGGTTGAGAACACACACAGGAAAACATATAAATACACACCAACCCAACCATTTCTACATGTACATGTCAGTACCCCTGAAGGCATCCCTTGAGCTGTGTAACCATTCTCATTCTCTTTTTCTGAGTTGTTCTTGTCTGTTAACATAGCATAGTGTGAAGTAATGAGACTTAACGTAATATAACGTAATGCAATGTAACATAAGTAAAAATGAACGACCGGACCGTAATGCAGCATAATGCAGCATAACACAGCATAACACAACATAACGCAACATAACGTAACGTGGAGCTCTTAGCGACCTAGTAAGCAGGCTGTTGCACTGCCAAACTAAAGGCATACAGTTTGAATCCACCAAAGGCTCTGTGGAAGAAACATGAACATTTTCCTTTCACGGGATTCACAGTCTCTGAAAACCCACTAAAGAAAGGGTCAGCTATGAGTCAGTTCTGCCTTGATGGTGTAATATAACAACATAACATCCTAAACATAAACTCACTGCCTTTTAAAGATCCTGTCTAATCTTTTAAGGTAACTATTGTTACTTTCATCCTGTATAGGTTTTGTTTTTTTTAAAGAAGAGAATGGTCAAGGCAGACATACCAAACAAGTTAAGCTAAACCTACTGATTGGTTTTAAAATTTTCAGGGACACAGGATTTAAGGTATAAAGATTTTTATCAGGGCAATAGACTTTTCTTGGATGTTTGTTTAAAGAAATGGATTAGAATTTATTAAATATCTGATTTGCAAATTGGGGTAACATTTCAACTCGAGAGTAAAAAAATATTTCCCAGAGGCAAGAACTTCTGGTTATATAAGGATAATTTATTCTGAATCACTGCTTCTAGTGTGAACCTAGAGTTTCAGCTTCTTTTCATTTATAACTTATATTTTGTTGTTGTTTCTGAGAAGATAAACAGCAGAACATATACCCATTTAACAATTCTACTTGTGCAATTCTGGAACCTTCTTGACTGTTACATTTCTTGAGTGCAAAGAACTGTCTCTTGTTCATCTGTCTATTCCTCCTACAAAATCCAGAACACTCTCCGGACATAGGAGACAAAAGGTCTAGAGCTATATACATATTTTCATGCTCTATCCTTTCTTCTAGTTACCAAAATGTTCTGGAAATGCTTATTGATGCTCATTATTTGTTTTAAAAGTTTCTTGATCAAATAAGTTTGTTGAAAAGCTATTTTTATTTCATTAACTATCAGAATTTTAAATGTAGCAATGTATACTGTGAAACTGCAAGAAGAGCCTTTTGTCTCTTTTCCAAATTTTTTTGACAAAATAAACTATCTATTTTCATGGGTAGTTGTGGGGGAGGGGGGTTGAAACTACTTTGAGTAATATGAGAACTCTATTGATGTCTATTTCTGACCCTAGGCTTAATCCTCTTGTTGTTGTTGTATACTGTTGAGTCAGAACCAACTCATAACTGACCCTCCAGCAGGTTTTTCAGAGACAGTAAATCTCATGGCAAGCGGTTGCTCATTTTTCTCCTAGTGTATTCGAACCATATGCCTTTAAGTTGGAAGCTCAGCTCCTCACCTCTAGGCCACCTTTTTAGGATTAACCTTAAGGTTACCTTATTTCTCCTAAGTGATGCACCCAAGTAAATAAGATGATCATGAATATAATGCTGTAAACGTAAACTCAATGCTCTTCAAACAATAACTCCTAGTGTTCACCTCTATCAACATTTCCAGACTACTTCCCTTTTGAATTATCTTCCTATCTCAGAACTCAGATATAGTACTTATGTCTATATCACACAATTTTGTGTTGGATGGACTACAAACTTGACTTACTGAATAGTTATTATGCATCCAATTAGACTGTATACCACAGTAAAGGATTTGGATTCTGCCCTATAGGTAAAAAGCTAGTGATGCTCCTATAGAAGGGATCTATACAATGATCAATAGGAAGTGAACACTCATGCTTTTCTCTCCTATAAGAAAGGGGGCAGGGATTAGATACCACTTTGGCATCACTATTAAACGTGATGCTTGTATTTCTAGCTAATGGACACTTCTTAGTTATAACAACAATGCTCAACCTTGTTTGTATACAGCAAAATGAAGATACAAGATGGATGGAGTAGAGAGTAGGAGAGCCCTTTCTGCCTTGTCCAATATTACCGTGTCAGAAGAATACACAGGGGTTTGGATGTAGAAAGCTGCTACCACTATTATGATGAAGATTCAAGATTTGCTAGGCATCTCTCAGAAGTATTTACAGATATCAAGTCTATTCCTACTACTGTTGCTTTATCACAGGCCCTCATCATCTCCTTTCAAGACTAAAAATTCTCAAGGTATGTGTGATTGGGTTACAATTATTCTAAGAGATTGCGACTCTCAATCCCTTGGTCCTACTGACTCTGACCACCAGATGTCTCATCTGTTTATTCCAGTGTGCCATAAAAATTGTGTTTCCAGCTCATGACATGGAAGAGGTTGGGACCTACTAGCCTAAGGAACTAGCCTCCATATTGGATTCCCTGCCTCCAGCCTCTATTCACTTCACCTCCATGTTACTGTCTGAGAGGCCTTTCTAAAACAACAGTATTAATGTTAATTAACAGCCATGTTAATGTTAATTAATGCCCCTTAACATCTTTTTTTAAATTTAATTTTTTTTACTAGACTTGCTACTAACATCTTTAATAGCTCATCATGCACAGGATAAAACACAATGAAAGTCCCTGGGTGGCATGAATGGTGTATACTTTGCTGACAACCCAAAGCTTTAGAACCTACCTAGTGGCATTACAAAAATGATAACCAAGATGTAACTAGTTAGCCTTCTGTTTTGACAATAATGGTCTCATGCAGTATTTGTCCTTTTTATTTAGTTCACTTATTTAGTTCACTCAGCATAATACTCTCCAGTCTCTCCCAAATTATGTAGTATTTTTTTTAAAGATTGGGTAGTGATAGGCAAGGTTCAATGGTGATTAATTTTATAAAACATAATGCATGGAAATGATTGTATAAAACACAATATGAATGAAGAATAGTGTGAAGCACAATGTATATGAACTTTGTGAGCAAATCAATATAAAAGAAAAAAATAATAAAAGGAAAAATTATTACCAAGAAAACTATGGAGCAGTTCTACTCTGTAACACATTGGGTGTTCTAGGTCATAAATGAGCAACAATAAAAACAAACTCAACAGCCAAGTATCTTCCAATAGCATACAAAGGAGCTGAGCCCAGCCTACATCACCAATTCAATTTTTCCCTAACTCTAACAGTGCCTTCCTCCCATCATTGTTCCTCCCTCCCATCATTGTTCCTCATTTTGTGTTCCTTTGATAAGCTGCCTTTGACCCATGCTGTGGTCTGCTTAACCATCAGAGGATACAGAGGAACAGTCCTTGATGTACTGTGTTGAACCAGCTGGGAGTATGCTTGATCCTCTCTATGTACAGGGTTTTATCTTCATAATGTTTTATTACCAACCATTCACTTCCAGCAGTGACACACAGTTCACAGATTACTACTAGCTACATCACCGCACACCTTTATACCTTAACCTAGGCTGATCCCTCTGGTTAATATGTTCTTGCTTCCAAATTTTGTCTACCCAGAAAGCTGCTGAAAATTGCCTAGAGGACTCATGGACAGAATGATTGACTAAGAGATGCACTCATTTATTCTGGAAGAAAGCCAACACAATTCCTGCTCTCGTGGAGCTTACACTCTTCCTGAGAGAAAGTGTAAAACCAAATGATCACACTTATGAATAGGCTTACCAGCCATAATGAGTGAGCACGATGAAGGAGAAACACAGAGAGCAATCTGAACATAGAATGTCCTGGAGCAGTAGGTGTGTGAAAGAAAGTGAACATGTGCCTGTGTGGCTAATTTGCATTCAGCAGTTTGAGAGAGCATCTTGGAAGAAATGGCACTGGCTGACAAATAAAATGATGGATCATTTGACTAGAGGACTGACTGACTGACTGAATGGCAGACTGATGGACTGACTGGCCAAAGGCAAGTCTGGCTGATGGACAGACTGGCTGATGATCTGACTGCACAACAGGCAGAATGTCTAACAGCCTAACATTCTGATCAGTTAGTTAGTTACCTGGATGGCTGGTTGACTGGCTAATGGACAGAACTACTGAATTGGTGGTGGAGTGACTAATTGGCTGAATGACTTAACTGTTGGCTTCACTTAGGCTTCCGCTCTTACTTTCTTACCCTGTACTATAGCCCCACATTGGTAATGAAACAGTAAGAAGGCAAAACCCTGTACACAGAGAGGGCCAAGCAGATCCCCAGCTGGTTCAGCAAGTACATTAGGGGCTGTTCCTCTGTATCCCCTGACTGCCAAGCAGACCACAGCATGAGCCAAAGGCAGCTT